TGAGAACCATGTGAGGACTAAAAGCCCCAAATAATAAAATAAGTGAAAATATTAATTAAAAATAAGTATCAAGAAGCAAACATGATTTTTAACAAAAATATATTGGTACAGTCCCCAAATCACTGAATGCATGATAACTATCATTAGTACTGTCTCATCTACCCTCTGTTCATATGATTGTGACTTTGGCTGGGCTGAAGTCTCTTCTGTGCCTCCACTCTATTTACAATTTCTCTTTGCAGAAGTGTCAAGATGGAGTGAACTATTAAATAAATGTTGAATAGATGCATAATGTATACATAGAAATGCATACATATAAATAATGTGTGCTTAGCTCTATGGATTTTCAAAATAAACACACCCAAGTAAAACTAAGTAATCCAAAGAATGCATTACTAGTGCCCCAGGAACCTCACTCAGTCTCTCTTGCGTCATTTGTCTTCCCTACAGTTTCCACTCTCTCTCAGGTGTCTAAAATTACATGTTTTTATAATCTAGGACAAGTCGAGGAAGAAAATCAGATAGCATGCATACTTCTTGGGCCTGGCTTCTTTTTCTTTCAATGTTAGGCTTGTGAGACACTCACACACTGTTGCACAAAACAGTAATACATTATTTCTCATTACTATATGAGGGCTTGTGATATGAAAGTATTTATTTTCTTGTGGATGGACATACATTTTAATGGTTTCCAGTTTTTGCTATTTTGAATGAATTTGCTATGAGCATTCATGACTTTCTGTGAACTTGGACACATTTCTCTTGGCATATCCCTAGGAGTTGAAATTTCTGGGTCATAGCCAAAGGACATATGCAATTTTTAGTACAAATCATCAGAGTTTTCCAAAATCGTTGTAACTAATTTATGCTTCCCCTAGCAATGTGTGTAAGTGCCCATGCCTTCAGTTTTCATTTCATAATACTGACAGTCTTTTTCATTTGTGGAAGGGAGTGTTATGCATTGGTATTAGATGGTGGTTTTCATCTACATTTGACTGGTAAGTTGAGCATCTTTTCAGATGCTTGTCATCTAGAGATTCCAGTTTGTGAAATACTTGCATCAGTGTTTAATCCATTTTCTTTTCTTTTCAGGCTAACTTCCTTATTTTAATATCATATAGAGGTTTCTCATGTATCTTATATAACAACTTTTTTCATGCATTTTGCTGCTAAAATTTACATTCTATTAATAGTATATTTGTTAAAAACAACACATTGTTATATTTTATAATAGCATCTTTTATAAAAAGAACACAATACATTAATGTGTTCAAGTTTCAGTCTTTCTCTTTGTATTGAATTTTTCTAGATCATTGGATGACAGCTTATTCAAATGTCACGAGACAGTTTTCTGTCTTGTAAGAAGCTCCTTTGATTCCCTTTGATATCTTTTGCTATAACTTCTGTCCCTGGACAGAGAATATGAGCAACCTTTTCTTTTCCCTGAAGCCCTATAATGTTATATATTACTTTCACTCTTCTTATTACAGTACATATTACCTTCAATCATAGATGTTTGTCTGTCCATCTTCTCCGTAGCATCTGCACATCCCATTGACTCAATTATCTAAATGCTTCAGTGTCTTTTTATTGAATCTGGGTCATAATGCCTCCTAAGTATCTCCAGAATTGGTCTATTTCTCCATCTCATTTTCTGAGCTCAATGGCCCCAACTGTCACAAATCTCATCTTTCTTGCTCTTCCTATACAGAGAAACAATGACCTTCCAAAATATAGTTCTCTTCATGCGATACTTCATTGAAAACTTTTCCAGGATGTCTACTTCTCTTAAATTTATGTTCAGTTCATTAGTGTACAACAGAAACTGCATAGACTTTGAAATACTATTATGTTTTTCTTACCACCGAGTCTTCTGTTTTAATCTCATAGGATTTCAATTTCCTTGAATGTTCCTTTGTAAAGACTCTTCTGTTAGCCTCTGCATCTATGCCACTGCCTGCCCACTTATCCTTCAGGTCTCATGCTGTGTATATTTCTCACAAGAATAATTCTCCACAAAACTCCCATCATCTGATACCATGGAACAGCCCCATAAGCTTCTCTGTAAAATCTACTCCATTTATTGCTGGTGTTATTGTCATCTCTCTGAAAATACAGGTTTGCTTGAAATATATCCCATGTCACTCTTGATCTCCATTGTATCATTTTGTTCATCTTATAACTGAAATGAATTTTAAATAATGTGTATATGTATGTATGAATATACATATTCAGATATACATACATACATATAATATGACATAAGTCCATAGGTCATACTATATAAATATGTCATATTTAATCAGAGCATATGTAGAGATAGGTAGATATGTATACAGAAGCAATGGATAAATATAGAATCAGATATGGATACATTGATTTGAGCTCATTAGTGTTCAGACATGTAGTCTAATTTTGAATTTGAGCCACATTTTCAGTAAATATTTGATGATTATCATTTTTATATAAGTCTACATCAGCCTTTAGAAAAGGCTTATTTAAACCCTCTTATTTTAAATTAAATTAAAAATACCCAATTCAACTGAATAATGTTTAATAATCTGTGTAGAATTTTTACCAAATATCTTCCTCTGCATCAGCAAATGGCATATGCTATGTTTGGACAGGAATATACCTCAAACATGCCATTTTGGTGCTATCTTGCTCAGCAATATAGCATGTATGTCATAGGCCTGAACTCCTAGTTCTGATTCACTGGGACCAGAAAAAGAAGAAAGGTTTATTTTACAATGAGCTAAATCTAGGATTATCTCCTTTCTACTACATTAAGCCTGGCACATTTTGTCCATATTAATGAAGGTAACTTTTCTGTAAGTCAGTGCTTCAAGTATCTGTAGACAAATTATTTGTGCTTCAAGCAGACCTTTCTTCTTACTCCTGGAGACCTTTATCCAGACACTGCAGTTTCTCAACATGATTTTAAATGTGAAATACTTGCATATAGACCCAATCCTTCAGTTCAGCTCTGACCTATCTAGAGAACAGGGCTGTCAAGTTATTCCTCTTTGAAGAGCATCCTCCTAGCAATGACACCCATGGAAGTCCCATGTTTTAGAGAGCAGAATCTTATACAGAAGTGTGTTGAGAAGAAGAAATTTAAAATTTGAAATAAAACTCCATACATAATTTGAAAAATAAAATATGAGGGCACAGGTGAAAAATCATTGAGCCTTAAGCTGTACTGGATTCACAGTAAATTAGACAGTGTCATGAAAACTTCACCATTATCTTTGGTAGTAATTTCTGATTTTTCTTATTAAGTTTATTATAATCGCAATGTACAGTTTTGCATATCATCAGCATGCACAGCTAGTGACAACACACTCACTGGTGTCCAATTGCCAGGATTCAAATCCTGAGTATCATTCCAATGATTTGCTGCAGGTATCCCATAAACTACGATGTTCAAAATTCTGGTACACCCAAGGCATATGATATGGACTATGCTTTTTTTGCCATTTTCTTCTATCAAATCATCATACCTACTATTTTTTCTACTAAAGGAAATAATCTAATTTTTCTAATTATCTGAGGTGTGTGTGTGTGTGTGTGTTTAAACATTTAACCATCATATTGACTTGACTTTCTCCATCATATTGTCATTGAGGATTCCCTGTGACACTATTAAACTCTGCTTACACTGTTTCCCAATTATTATCTGTATGTGTACGTGAACCACAGAATTGTTAAGACATCAGAACACAAAGGACTTGTTGGGCTCTGCGAAACCCTGTGCCTGCCTTCAACTGAAGTTCTTCCCACTGACATTCAAAATAATCTTTAGCATATACTTTTGGTGAAGACCACGATTTCTATCTTCACAAAGTTAGTGCATACCATATTTTTCTGACTGTAAAATTAATATGTGATTATTGAAGGACAGTTCAAAAGGCATCAAGAAGCTTAAAATAGTGTGCATTGTCACTCTCCCAAAGTAACCACTTTTGACTTTTCAGCATTTCCTTATAGAAGTAATTTTCTTCTTTTATATTAAGATCAGCCAAAATGAATTGCAGTTGTTAATTAATGCCAAATAGTTTTTTCTTATTATAGAAAATTCTTCATAAATAACATTTCACTATTGCCCTGTTAATATGTTTTATAGATGTGACATAATTCACTTATATCTTACATGTGGAAAATTGAGATGATTATATTGTTTTTAAGAAAAATATATATAGAAGGGAAAGAAAAGAGATAATGGTATAGTTGTTTTATAATCTCAAAACATGAAAGAAAAAAATATATTTTTTACTCTACCAACATCATTAGTACTGTAGTCCTTATATATCTTTCTACCTAAAATCTCCTTTCCTTTCTCTGGTATAAATTAAAAAGGATAAATTTACTCTTCTAAATTTGACAAAAGCTGAATGAACAGAAACATTTACAAAAATCAAAATATTAATCCCACAATAGTTGTAGTCTTAAAGGTAATGTCTGAACATATCTTTCTACATACAGCCAGTATTGACATTGTTGATTATTAACACCACAAAAAATGCGCATGTATGTATTTATTTAAAACTGCAGATGATGAGCCAGTAGAGGAAGACATTACAAAGAATCACACATTCTACAACATATCTTTTTGATAAACATCTCCTTCCAAAACACACTAGAAATCAAATCAATAAGGAAGAAATACAGATGATAGATATGAAACTTTAATATATAGTAGGTTTGGGGCATCAGGCATCCATAAATAATACTGTTCAGACATTTTCATCAAAATAATCAGATAGAGCTCACATTTTCATACTTTTTTATCTGAAAACTAATTAATAACCATGAGTTTAAATCTCTATGTATGTTAAAATTCTTGTGTATCACATCACAGCTGTCTGATTTCCATATCTCAAATTTTCATTGTTTCCTGCCTCTACTCCCCTTCCCTCTTCTCCCTGTGCCTCATTCATTCTGAAACTATTATCACCTCTGCCCACCTCAAGTGCCGCCCCTTTTGTACAGTTTCCTACCTTGAAGGTGCAGTTTGCTTTCCGTGCTTTGCAGAAGGACGGAACTCACAGAGTCCAGATTGTCATAGCTGTTACAGCCCAGAGGCCCAGTGCGTGTTTCTGTGACCTAGAATGGACAATAAGTGAGAAAAGTATAAGATAGGAGTCCTGATCTAGAGGAGATAGATCCTAAGGAATGATTCCACACCTGAAATGTCTGCTGAATGCTTGGCTGGAACTGTGTGTGGCTCTGGCTAAGCAGACTAAACAAGTATGATCAAACACACAGACTGAATTCTTAAGGTCCACTGTCTACTACTGGCTTTCACTTCACAAGGTCACACCAAGTGTTATATGAACAAATACATTATAGCACAATGATACAAATCTAAAGCCCAGGTTTCAGAATCAGAAAAACTATCATTAGTTCCAAGCTGGGCCATTTATTTGCTGTGTGACATAAGGAAGCCACTTAACTCCTCTAAGTGTCAGCAAGCTCAAGCTATCAATGCCTTCCAGGGAGGCTGTGGAACACATGTAAAGACTTTAAGTGCCTAGCACAGGGAATGTTCAAAAATGGCCAGCTGATTACAAAATGCCTCTATAAATTGCAATGAGTACATAGGCACTATTATTGGGCAAGAACAATACAATTGTCTCCATTTTTCAAAAGAAGTTTCAGCAATAACTACAATCAGTGCCACTGCGGGGTTTAAAAAAAAGAAATCCAGATTCTGTTGTGTATTTGTGATTTTTGTCTTCTAAGATTCAAGGTGGTGACAAAAAGGAATAGCTACTTAAAATAACCTTGGAATTAAGGGTTTAGTACATAAAGGCTTCTTCATCCCTTTACTCATCATTCTTTGGAGCTGTGCTAAAGTTTGTGTTCAACTGTAAAGGAACAGCCTCCAGTGAAGGGAAAGATCACTTGTGGGAAAGACACTACATAACTTCTCGGTCATTTCACCTGTGTAATCTTAGGCAGGTATCTTTCCCTTCCTCAGACTCCAGTTTCTCCTCTTTGTAAAGGTAGCAGTGCTCTTACATAAAGAGGTAAAGAGATTATATATTAAAATAATAATTATTATTATAAAAATTAACATTAGTGTGTATGTGTACCTGTATATTTGTGCATGCTTTGTAAGTGGGACCATATATCCCAAAGAATGATGCAGTGAGCAGAGGACAACTTCAAGCAGTTTGCTCTCTCCCTCCAACTTTATGTGGGTAGTGGGGATGGACTTAAGTCACCAGGTCACTTGGTCACCAGTAAGCACTTTTACTAGCTGAACCACCTCGCATGCCCAAGGAGCCATAGTTTTTATGTACTTGGTATGTGGGATATAATAAACCAATTAATGATCGTTGCATTTTTCAAAACAAATAATTCCTTCATTTTTTGTCAAATAACAGCATACTTTTTATTGAGTAAGACTTAACACCACTAACTTATTTTACAATAGTTACCCTATCTGGGTCAGAGGCTGGCTTTCACAATAATCAGGGAGTGACACAAGCTGTAGTGTACGAGTCCTGAGACAGTGGCCAGAAAGGGCAAAAATACCTTCCTGGGCCAAATTGAGCGTAGAAAGCCAGGGTTAGTATAAAAATGGCTCATTGAGGCTTTTAGGCCCAGGGGCACAACCCATGCTTCCTTATCCCCAAGCATTGCTGTCCCAGCTGCAGGCCAGCAAGCAGGACTCCTGCATGCATGCCTGATTACCAGCATCGCAATCAGACCCTGTGACCTACAATGACCACTCCATCCCCCAAACCCACCCATCCTCTGAGACCTCAGTGGCTTCTTGAGACACAGGCTCTGCCAGCTCTGATTGGACCAAGAGCTCTGTTTGGACCAAGAGTACCAAGTAGACCAAGAGTGGCTACCTGAGACACATACACCCTTTGTACCCACTGGAGGATGAGATGGGTATATGACAGTGCAAGAATATATTCAACAACATAAATAGCAATATGGTACCACCAGAACCTAGTGGTTCTACATCAGCAAGTCCTGAACATCCCAATGTAGAAGAAACAGAAGAAAATTACTTTAAAAATGACTTTAAGAAGATGAAAGAGGCCTTTAAATTGGAAATGAAAAATTCCCTTAAAGAAATCAAGGAAAAGACAAACAAAAATTGGAAGAGATCAATAAATTTCTTAAAGAAAACCAAGAAAAAGCAATTAAACAGGTGAAAGAAACAATTCAAGAATTGAAAACTGAAAGAGGCAATAAAGAAGACACAAACTGAGTGAATGCTGGAAATGAAAAATCTGAGTAAATGAACAGAAACTACAGATGCAAGCATAACCAACAGAATTCAAGAGATGGAAGAGAGAATCTCTGGCATTGAAGATATGGTGAAGGAAATAGATTCATCAGCTAAAGAAAACATTAAAGCCAACAAAGTCATAACAAAAAACATCCAGGAAATCTGGGACACCATGAAAAGACAAAAACTAAGAATAATAGAGATGGAATAATGAGAAGAATACCAGCTCAAAGGCACAGAGAATATATGCAACAAAATCATAGAAGAAAACTTTCCCAACCTAAACAAGGAAATGCCTATGAAAATACAAGAAGCTTACAAAACACCAGGTAGACTAGACCCCCAAAAAAAACATCCCTACTCTACATAATAATCAAATGACTAAACATACAGAATAAAGAAAAATATTAAGAGCTGCCAAGGAAAAAGACCAAGTAACATATAAAGACAGACCCATCTGAACAAAACCTGACTTCTCAATGGAGGCTCTGAAAGCCAAAAGGTCCTGGACAGACATAATGTAGACACTAACAGACCACGGATGCCAGCCCAGATTGCTACAGCCAGCAAAACTCTCAACTGCCATATACATATTAAACAAGATATTTCATGATAAAATTAGATTTAAACAATGCTTATCAACAAATCCAGCCCTACAAAAAGCACTAGAAGAAAAAAAATCCAACCTAAGGAAGTCAGATGCACCCATGAAAATACAGGCTATAGATAATCCCACACCAACATATCCCAAAGAAGGGAAACACACAACACTACCACCAAAAAAAAAAAAAAAAAAAAAAACCAGGAATTAACAATCACTGGTCATTAATATCCCTTAATATCAATGGACTCAATTTGCCTATAAAAAGAAATAGGCTAACAGAATGGATAAGAAAACAGGATTCATCCTTCTACTGAATGAATACAAGAAACACACTTCAACCTCAAAGGCAGACACTACCTCAGAATAAAGGGCTGGGAAAAGTCTTTCCAGTCAAATGGACTAAAGAAGCAAGCTGGTGTAGCTATTCTAATATCTAAAAAAGTAGACTTCAAACTAAAAGTAATCAAAAGAGATCAAGAAGGACATTACATATTCATTCAGGAAAAATCCATCAAGATGAAGTCTTAATTCTGAACATTTATGCTCCAGATATAAGGGCACCCACATGCGCAAAAAAATATTAATAAAGTTTAAATCACACATCAAACCCTAGACACTAATAGTGAGAGATTTCAACACCCCACACTTACCAGTGGACAGTTCTGTCAGACAGAAACTTCACGCAGAAATAAATGAACTAATAGACTTTACGACTCAAATGGACTTAATAGACATATACAGAACATTCCACCCAAACTTATAAGAGAATACTCCTTTTTCTCAGCACCCCAGAAACCTTCTCTAAAATTGATCACATACTCAGTCACAAACCAAATCTCAACAGATACAAAAAAATTGGAATAAACTCCTGTATTTTATCAGACCATCATTGCTTAAAGTTAGAATTCAGCAAAAACACAAATTACAGAAAGCCCATAGTCTCATGGAAACTGAATAATGCTCAACAGAATCACCACTGGGTCAAGGAAGAAATAAGAAAGAAATTAAAGATTTCTTAGAATTCAATGAAAATGAAAGTACAACATACTCAAACTTATTGGACACTATGAAAGCAGTACTAAGAAGAAAGTTCATAGCTCTAAATACCTACATGAAGAAGTTGGCGAAATCTCACACTAGTGACCTAAACAGCACACCTGAAAGCTCCAGAACAAAAGGAAACAAACTCACCCAAGAGGAGTAGATGTGAGGAAGTAATAAAATTGAGGGGTGAAATCAATAAAAGAAAAAACAGAACATTACAAAGAATCAATGAAGCAAACAGTTGGTTCTTTGTGGAATTCAACAAGACAGACAAACCCTTATCAAAACAAACTAAAGGGCGGAGAGAGAATATCCAAATTGACAAAATCAGAAACAAAAAGGGAGACATAACAACAGACAATGAGGAAATCCAGAGAATCATCAGGTCATACTTCAAAACTTGTACTCCACAAAATTGGAATATCTAAAAGAAATGGACAATTTTCTGGATAGGTAACATATACCCAAAGTAAATCAAGACCAGATAAACAATTTAAGTAGACCGATAACTCCTATGGAAATAGAAGCAGTAATAAGTCTCCCAACCTCTCCCCCGACCCAAAAAAAAAGCCCGGGGCCAGATAGTTTCAGGGCAGAGTTCTATCAGAATTTCAAAGAAGAGCTAATATTGTTCCACACAATAGAAAAAGAAGGAACATTGCCAAGCTATTTCTATGGGGCTACAGTAACACTAATACTCAAAACACACAAAGATGCAACAACCAAAGAGAATTACACTTCAATCTCCCTCATGAACATTGATGAAACAATACTCAATAAAATACTGGCAAACTGAATCCAAGAATGCTTTAAAAAATCATCCACTATAATCAAGCAGGCTTCATCCCAGAGATGCAGGGACAGTTTAACATACAAAAATCTGTCAACATAATCCATCATATAAACAAACTGAAAGAAAAATAAAACCACATGTTCATCTCATTAGATGCTGAACAAGGCTTTGAAAAAATTCAACACCCCTTTATGATAAAGGTCTTGGAGAGATCAAGAATACAAGGAACATACTTAAACATAATAAAGGCGAATTACAGCAAGCCAAGGGCCAACATCAAAATGAATGGAGAGAAACTTGAAGCTATTCTACCAAAATCAGGAACAAGACAAGGCTGTCTACTCTACTCATACCTAATTTAATATAGTACTCAAACTTCTAGCTAGAGGAATAAGACAATAAAAGGGGATATAAATTAGAAAGGAAGAAGTCAAACTTTGACTATTTGCAGATGATATGATAGTCTACATAAGTGACTCCCATAATTCTACCAGGAACTCTAACAACTGAATAGACAACAAAGTAGCAAACAATCCAATTAAAAAATGAGCTATGGATCTAAACAGAATTCTCAACAGAAGAATCTCAATGGTCTAAGGCATTTAAGGAATTGCTCATCATCCTTAGTCATCAGGGAAATGCAAATCAAAATGACTCTGAGATACCATCTTATACCTGTCAGAATGGCTAAGATCAAAAATACTGATGACAGCTTATGTTGGAGAGGATGTGGAGCAGGGGTAACACTCCTCCACTGTTGGTGGGAGTGCAAACTTGTACAGCCACTCTGGAATTCAGTATGACAACTTCTCAGAAAATTGGGAATCAATCTACCTTAAGGACCAATGATACAACTCTTGGGCATATACCCAAGGGATACTCAATCTTACCACAAAAACACTTGCTCAATTATGTTCATAGCAGCATTATTCGTAGTGGCCAGAACCTGGAAATACCCTAGATACCCCTCAACTAAAGAATGGATAAAGAAAATGTGGTATATATACACAATGGAGTATTACTCAGCTGTAAAAAAAAATGATATCATGAATTTTGCAGGCAAATGGATGAAACTATAAATTATCATCCTGAGTAAAATAACCCAGAGTCAAAAAGACAAACATAGTGGATACAAGACGTAAAGCAAAGAATAATCAGACTATAACCCACAGCTCCAGAGAAGCTAGGAAACAAGGAGGATTCTTAAAGGGACATAGGGATCACTTGGGAAAGGAAAACAGAGGAGATCTCCATTACTAAACTGGGGATGGGGGGTGCAATAAAGGGGAGGGGATGGGGTGGATCAGAATATGATGGAAGGGGATGGTCAAGCTGAGGGAGGGACAGAGTGGAAGAGCAATGAAAGAGATACCTTGATAGAGGGAAACATTATGGGGTAAGGCAGAAACCCAGTGCTAGGGAAATTCCCAGGAATCCACAAGAATGACCCCAGATTAGACTACTAGCAATAGTGGTGAGGGTGCCTGAACTGGTCTACCCTGATAATCAGATTGGTGAATACCCTAACTGTCATCATTGAGTCTTCATCCAGTAACTGATGGAAGCAGATCCACAACCAAGACCCAGGCCAAGCTCCAGGAGTCCAGTCGAAGAGAAGGAAGGATTACATGAGCAAAGGAAGGTCAAGATCATGATGGAGAAATCTACAGAGACAACTGAACCAAACTCATAGGAACTCACGAACTTTGGATTAACAGTTGTGGAACTTGCATGGGACCAGACCAGACGCTCTACATACTTCATACAGGAGACAGTTGTACACGTGGGTCTGTCTGAGGGACCCTTGGCAGCGGCAGTGTGATCAGGATCTATCCCTAGTGCATGAACTGGCTTTCTGGAGCCTATAACCTATGGTCAGGTACCTTGCTCACCATTGAGGCAAGATGGGGGTACTGGGTCCTGACTCAACTGAATGTAACAAGCTTTGCTGTCCCCAGATGAGAACTTAACCCTTTTGGAAGAGGCTATGAGGGGTGAATCGGGACAGTTAGGCATGGGTGGGGGGAGTGGGAGGATGGATGAGATGGAGATCTGTGGTTGTTATGCATAATAAATAAAAAATTTAAATAAAAAGAAAAAACATCAAGCTGAGTATTAAAAATGGCTCATTGAGAGTTTTCTGTGCAATTTGTTAGAGAAATCCCTCCCCAAGAGGTGGGCTGCACATTCCAGGATGCACAGAAGATGATTATCTCCTTACAGCCCTTCAATATCTCAATTCTTCACCCCATCCAGGAGCAGAGAACCATTTGGTAATAATGAAAACCAGGGCTTTGCAGCTCCCTGACTCTCATGGCTTCATAAAGATTTTTCTCTCGATGCCAGGCTCCTTAACAGCATAATCCCCCCTATACAAGTAATTTTTCTTGGATAAGCTGGTCTTTGTTTGTCGATTTGATTTATCTCTCTTCTTACTACCTTCCTACCCAGTCACACCCTCCTGCCCTCTTCTAGTGAACAATTTGTGATTCAAGCTGCCTGAGTCTAACTTGACCTTTCCCTTTCTGTTCCTTTTCCCTAGAGATGTCTTAGGGATTCTTAATATGAGGCAAGACCTACATTTAATTCAGAAGTTAAAATGAAGACTCAGAAGCAAATTGCAGGCATAATCTAGTTTAAGAAAATTTAGGACAGGAAAAAAAAATCCTCTGACAAATTAATCCTTTATTTCAAGAATGTCATCCCACACTTTCTTTATAGAGGTCATCTCTAAACTCACTGTACTGGAAATGAATCCTAAATTTCCTGTACTGGAAGCCACTGACTTGAGAATTCAGCGTATCTACATCCAACATGTCTGCTTGACTTTGAATTAGTTAAAATTGAATCAACTTACAAATGTACTTCGTTGGTAGACCTAGTCAAGTATTCAATAATCACATGTGACTAAAGGCTACTTCCTGGCCAGCACAGATAAAGATACTTCCAGTATCTCATATCTTCGAAGGTTCTATTGGGAGGTGTTGATGCGAAAGAGCATGGCTCAGTGGACAATGTGGCTAACTGTTCACTTGTGTAGATAAAGATTTGTCAGAATACAGTCACACACTCTTACATATGCATGTCCATGGCTACTCCTTTGCAATTGTAGCAGACCTGAGAAGTAACAACTAAAACCTGTAAACTTTAAATATTTCATACTGGAATTTTGCAGAAAATGTTTGCACATTGCCAGGCTAGACAGTAGCATCTTAGCTCCTATTAGGATATTCTCAAGATGAATACCTCTGAGCAAAATGCTTAAAACTGTGGACCTCAGTGTTATAATCTAGAAAATAGGTTATGGGAATGGATAAAAAACATAAAAATTGTACAAACTGATCATTAGAGATGCACTAATCTTATTCTTGCTAGCCGTATGATTTTGGGGAAATTATTTACTCCTAGCCTCTGTCTCTACAATTGGCATAAGAAAGAAAGAATAGAAAGAATGGGAAGAAAGAAAAGAAAGAAAGAAAGAAAGAAAGAAAGAAAGAAAGAAAGAAAGAAAGAAAGAA